GTTGATACGCGGAGTAGGAGGCGGAGGCGGAGGAGGGTTCGAAGCTCAAGGTCAGTGCTGAAGGAGGAGACCTTGATGTTTGTGTTTAATTGGTATACGAAGCTGGCGTTAATTTCTAGGGATGAATCTATCGAATGATGATGGCGTCTGTGAGTCATTCGTCCCGTATTCTTCCTCGAAATGGCTCTTGATCAAAAGTGCAAGTTGAGTGAAGAGAGCTGGTGATGCCAAGTCGTAGGCACATGGACTCCACTTCAGATGCCGGATTGCCGATTCCCCCAGGAGCCGCTTACTCGAACGAGAATAGCTCCGGGCATCCCTCTCCACTTTATCGGCCGTCGTGTGCCGGGATTGAAGCGGGCACTGGAACTTGGAGATAGAGGAAGCTTCTCCAGGTTTGAGTAGTGCGGAGGAGGCACCTCTAGCCTGGAAAGTCGTGAGGGGAAGGCAGCTATGTCAGGTTAGTGGAAGATGAGTGAGGGAGAAGAAAGCATTTTGATATCGTTGACTTGCGTTGCTTGGACAAGTTTGAGAGCTGTTCGTGAGAGTACCTGATCATAAATGGAGATGGCTTACACAAGCTGAGATATCACAACAGAGACAGGAAATATTTCACGGTGTGATGTGACGTGGATCTTAGCAACGATTGCACACAACAGCAGAGATCCCTGTCTCTGCAACCCCCAACACCGAGATCTGCAGCACTACCTCGTAGATGCCGAATCAAAACATCACGTCTCCGGAACCGGCATCCTCCAATCTTCGAATTATGGGGACCCTCCTACTCTTCTGATCCCTGTTTATGCTAGTATCGTAAGGGCATGATAGGTTCGTGGGATATTCGCTCACGGTTCGGAGATGGTGCATTGAGTTTTTGGAGGAGTTGGTCAAGTTGGGGGAGATGGGGAAGAGTATATAAGTGAGCATGATCCGCGCTTGGAGTAGGTTGGTCTTTGGATCAACAGCTTTGACTGTGTGTCTTTACTGATACTCACTCACTCACTTTCTTCATACTTCAACATCCATCGTGGTGACTTCCTTCCATTTACTCCATTTCGTTGTCTTTAGCAGTCAACATCAACTCGTAGCCCAAGAGGGTCACTTCCACAAACGTCATCCAGACATCTTCACTTACTTCAACAATCTTTTGTACAATAACAAAAGCTCACAATGACTCAAGACGAGTACAACACTCGCGCACCTCACGAGGGCATGTCCCCAGGTCGTTACGCAGCCACAAGATTCTCGTCGCTCAAACCTCCCATGCACAATGTCCCGAATCCCATAAAACTCGTGCGCATGCTGAACTCCCAACAATGGGCATTCTTCTTTGTCGCCTTCGCAGCTTGGGTGAGTTCTCTTATAATTGTACCATTCTATCAATAACTGATTAACTCATAACATATAGACATGGGACGCATTCGATTTCTTCTCCGTATCCCTCACCGTTACAAGTCTCAGCAAAACCTTTGACAAATCCAAAACCGACATCACATGGGGTATCACCCTTGTTCTCATGTTCCGATCCGTTGGTTCTATCGCCTTCGGTATCGCGAGTGATCGATACGGTCGAAAGTGGCCATTCGTGGTCAACAACCTTCTCTTCATTGTTCTTGAACTTGTGAGTACAGCCCTATAGATACCCCTGCTACATTGGGCTTGGCAAGACCAATGCCAAGAGATCTACGAGATATGTCCGAACGAACAGTCGCTGACGAAATATGATGTAGGGCACTGGTTTCTGTCAAACCTACCAGCAGTTTCTAGCCTGCAGGGCCCTCTTTGGCGTTGCCATGGGTGGTCTTTATGGTAACGCTGCCGCCACTGCTCTCGAAGATTGTCCAGAGGAGGCACGTGGTCTCATGAGTGGTATGCTCCAGCAAGGTGTAAGTAACAACCAGCCGCCTCGCTGAGGTCCATTATCTAACTGTTACAGTATGCTTTCGGATACCTTCTCTGCGCTGCATTTGCTCGCGGTCTCGTCGATACAACATCTCACGACTGGCGTCCTCTCTTCTGGTTCGGCGCTTGTCCCCCAGTTCTCTTCATCATCGCTCGTCTGATGCTCCCCGAGACACAAGCCTATCAGGAACGCCAACACGCACGAGAAGTTGCTGGTGCGGACGGAAAAGGAAAGGTCTTCATCAAAGAAGGCAAAGTCGCTCTCAAGCACCATTGGCTTCTGCTGGTATACCTCGTCCTTCTCATGGCGGGCTTCAACTTCATGAGCCACGGTAGCCAGGACTTGTACCCTACCATGTTGGAGAACCAGCTCAACTTTTCCAAGAACAAGGTCACTGTCACCCAGGTTGTAGCTAACTTGGGAGCTATGCTTGGTGGCACTGTCGTCGGGTTTAGCAGCCAATCTATTGGTCGTCGAATCAGCATCATCGCTTGTTGCATCGTTGGCGGTGCCCTGTTGTATCCCTATACTTTTGTCCGCGACTCTTCAATTATCGCGGCTGCCTTTTTCCAGCAATTCTGTGTCCAGGGAGCGTGGGGTGTTATCCCTATCCATCTGATGGAATTATCTCCAGGAGCTTTCCGTACTTTCGTCGTCGGTACATCCTACCAGCTCGGTAACCTTGTGTCTTCAGCTTCGTCGACCATCGAGGCCCGTCTCGGCGAGAACTTCCCCCTTCCCGACAACGCTGAAGGCCAGACTCGCTACGACTATGGAAAGGTCATCTGCATCTTCATGGCATGTGTATACGTGTACGTCATTGTTCTGACGTTCATCGGTCCCGAGAACTTGAGGGGCAAGTTCGATGTTGCCCACGACTCTGACGCCAGGGAGGCCATGGGTGACGGGGTTATGGAACAGGCCGCTGACCGCCATGGGCATTACGACGAGGAAACCGGTAGGATCAGCAGTGAGAAGCCTGAGGTTGCTCACCTGCGGGATTAGACGTGGTCGGTTGTCTGGCAGAAGTGATGACTGGTTGAAGTGTTCTGCAATGGCGACTAAGGTGCAACTTTGCACGAATATAGTTCTTTATGTTAGTCCAGAGATAGTCATGAAATTCGTGAAATATTCCAAAGCTTCGTTGTGCTTGATCTCGTATTCCGGATCGTCGGTGATGATTCCTCATGACTCTGGGCATTCCCCGCATCGGGGGAGCGGATGTCGGTAGTGCATTGTACGCCAAGTGTTCATGACCATTTTCCCCAGAGAATCAGTTGATCCAATTCGTTTCGGACTTCTTAGTTAATTCCTCCGCCTTTTCCTCGATCAATCATGGTACGTAAAATGTCTGGGGAACCTGTTATCCGGATACGTATTTCCCCACTCTCCAAACGCGGATCCGACGATAGTTGCATTCTGAATGAACATGTTGATTCCAAACTTGACCCTGCTGACTGATTCTGTAAAGAGTTTCATGGATGTTGTTGCTGTCGAAAGCTTATGCGAATCGTCCGGAGAAAGGGAGTTCACTTGCTTACCCTCAAGCTTCTGACATAGCTGCAACGCGAATGGAGATGTTTTTCGTAGAGTAGCTCTCTCTCCACTTGGCGATGCAGTAATTCCCAAACTAGCTCCCGCTCTTGCTTAAACGACTAGGACAGTCTTGGGAATCATTACTCACTGACCCCCATCCATTGTGCGGAGATCTACTCAGGTATATATATCCCACGTCCAAGAACCTTGAGAGCTTCTTCACTCCACAGATTGTCTCATAGACACCTTGATAACTTACACTTTTCCAAAGACACTCTAGCTTCGTGCTTAATTTGTTATACAATGGCTCTGACTGGCAGCTGCATGTGTGGTGCCATCGCTTATAAGAGCGACAGTAAGTTTCTTGAACCAATCATATAATACGAATTCGTCTAACTAGATAGGCGACGCTGCTATTACGGCTCTATGCCACTGCATTGATTGCCAGAAATGGACTGGCGGTGCCTTTACTTCCAATGCCGTTGTCGCTGAGGGCGACTTTTCCGTTACCAAGGGTATTGCCTTGAACCAATTTTCTCTACCAAGCAGACACTAATATATTCCAGGTTCTCCCAAGCAATACGATGTCACCGGTGCCTCGGGCAAGATAAACCACCACTTCTTCTGTGGGGACTGCGGCTCCAGCCTGTACACTCGCCTGGATGTCATGCCTGGCAATATCATCATCAAGGCTGGTGGTCTTGACAACGGCAAGGCCAACCTCGACAACAAGATCAATGTCGAGTTTTACTGCCGCGATCGTGTTAGCTACCTGCAGGCTGCTGAGGGAGCCAAGCAGGAGCACCTCTTTGGCTAAGAGTGGGTGTTGTAGGAGATGGACCTGGCCGGATGCGTGAATGCGGAGCTAGGTGTATAGTATAGCGTTGAATAGTGATGTTTTTTTCCCCCTCAGGAAGTTGTCCCTCGTTTCGTAATCATGGGGCAATTTACATTAACGACACCGCAGCAGCGGATTTGGAAGAATGTGGCCTCCACTCTCGTTGCATCTGCCAGATAAGGCAGTTCGTCTGCTAACCTTCAGCCGGGTACCACCAGGTGAGATCGCGTCTGAGAAAGTCAACACGTGACGGGCGGTTCTCTTCTGCGTTGCGGTGCTCTTCACACTCTGGTCCATAGCACCCGGTTGCCCAAGGACAGCGCCTTGATCCAAGTAGACTACCGGGCTGTCGGCGAGCCTTGCCAACATACTTTCCCTCTGGTTGTATGAGGCCACCAGGATACATCCATCGTTGCCGAACGAGCCCTGGTTTCTGAGTCCGACATCTTGGTTCGTTCCAAGTACTATCTTCCGCAGCAAGTCTCCATTTCCAATCATAAGGGGATCGGCAACGACCAAGTTGCTGATAACTCACGACCTCTATGCGCCAGCCTTGCCTCTGTTGACTCTCCCAGCGTATAGTTATGGAGTAATCAGTAAAGCAGATGGGGCACGACCCTAGTGAGTTATCACAGGACTTGAACCCTACCAACAGTTCTTCCACTTCTGTTAAGCCATATCGACCTATACTAGCATAGTCCTGCGTGCCGTTGCTATTGCTTCGAAGATGAATGCATACAGGAAAGTAAAGGCGATGCCGAATTTCCTGCACGCCTGGATATTTGTGAATATATATTACCAGAGTTCTTTGGAAGAATAGTTCATCTCGAATTATGCGAGCAAGGACTGTCCATTGTTCTGTACCACCCTTGTATCGAAAGACATCCCCGTTGTAGTTGAGGATATCGAGGGGGAGTCCGTGGGCAGGGCCGTTGAAATGACGATTCATGATAAGTCGCGCCTCGGGATATTTTATCATCAAACCAGAGTCGATCCACAGATAAAAGTTGAAGCGATAAAAACAGGTTTTCCGGCAATTCCAATCCCCGCAGATACAGGGGTCAACTTTCCCACGTCGGTCCCGTTGGTGAAGCTTCATACAGATATGACAAAAGTACGAACTGGCGCAATTCTTTTCCAGCATCTGCAGGAAATCTTCCAGTTCTGTTCCTTCGAGTTTGACATTGCGGGTAAATCTTGAAAGCAGAATGTGGTAGGGTCGGCAAGTAAGGCTGAATGAGATCAACGAGACATCGGGGAGGTGCTCGGCGATTTCTAGGATGATCTCAGGGGGGGGACAGATGAGATCTCCACGGGGATCTTTCAGAGTGAGTCTCCGCCGAAAACGATTGAAGAAACGTCTGAGATGTCTGAAATGTCTGCTCATGTTTATGATTGAGGGCCGAGTCGGCTGAACCAAACCGGAATCATGAGAAACAGGTAAAAGGGGAGATATATATAACTTATCCGTGGTTGCTTAGAGTTTTCATAACCTGTCCCACGTGGGATTAGATATAAGGTTCACACGCCACAGCAGCAGAATTGCTTCATTCTGTTTAACTTGGCTTCATCAACGGCAAAGTATCATTGCGCTTATGATTGGGTTCTCAGCAAGGAGACAACTACTCCACGAGATATATGCTGACAGTCACTAACATGGCCTGGCTTTCGGGCTTAATCTCATCCAAATCTGCTGCTATCATACAAGATAGCCTTGATCCTAAATGAAGGAAATGCTTAGATCAATTTAGAGGATTTAGTATAATTTCAACCTAAAAAGCCTAATTTCTATATACTGCCTTAATATCCCGTATCTGCATCACATGAGCTTACAGCGGCGGTGTATGGATCATATATATTACGGACACTCCGTAGTGGCTGTTTCTCTGGAGATTGGCTTACAGGGGCAGGATGTCTTATCTCAGATTCTTCCAACCTTCTTCATTCTCGGTCTCTATAACAATTCTTCTTTTATTCTCAATCATCACGACCTTGTTAATACCTACAAATTGTTTTTTATACTCCGTATTCGGCCATTGACACGCACGTCACTGATTGCTGATTTGACGTGGTACAAGCCAAGAGTGGGGTATTCCCAGTCTACTCCGCACGTTATTAGGGCGATCTCCCGAACACCAGCAACCATCAACATCCACGTCCACGTCCACGTCCATCCAAACACGCCTTTTTTAAGTTACAAGGGTTTTCACTAATAAAAGCCACGCATCATTTTATACTTCCTGACTTACTCGAGATGGGGCCATCTCAGTCTACGCACAAGTCAGATGACTCTCACGGACAACAGTTTATTCTCCCGCCCTTCACTCGTGACGTTACTACCACTAAGCCAGAGGCCAAGAGATGGGTCGAAGATGGCATCGTTTGGTGCTACGCTTTCAATCATGCCGAAGGAGAACGCTGTTTTGAAAGGGCCATTGAGATCGACCCAGAATGTTGCCTCGCATATTGGGGCCTTGCCTTTGCTCTTGGTCCCAACTACAACAAGCCATGGAAAGCATTCGACCGCAACGATCTCAAGCACACCACATTGAAAGGTCTTGAAGCCTGTAAAAAAGCTGAGGCTCTAGCCTCGAAAGCGAGTCCCGTTGAACGAGCTCTTGCTGGTGCCATTCGGCATCGCTATCCTAAAGATGAGAACGACACAAATCATGCCAGGAGTTGGAACAGTGCCTACGCAGAAGCCATGAAACCTGTTTATGAAGAGTTCAGAGATGATCTTGATATCGCAACCCTGTACGCCGACTCACTCATGAATCTCACGCCCTGGGCTCTATGGGACGTCCGAACAGGGAAGCCTGCCCCTGGTTCTGAGGTCCTCGAGATTCAAGAAGCTCTTGAAAGAGGTATAGCTCAGGAAGGCGGATATGAGCATATCGGACTCTTGCACGCCTACATTCACGTCACTGAGATGTCAACTGAGCCTGAAAAGGGTCTTCTTGCAGCCGAGCATCTTCGCAGATTGGCGAATGAAGCAGGCCACCTAGCTCACATGCCTTCTCATCTCGACATCCTAATCGGAGACTATCGACGTGCCATCTCTGCCAATGCAAAGGCTGTCATAGCTGATGAGAAATTTGTATCCCTTCGGGGCGGCGGCGACTTTTACACCATATACCGCATGCACGACTACCACTCACTCATCTACGCCGCCATGTTTGCTGGCCAATACGGTGTCTCGATCAAGGCAGTGAACCAAATGGAAGTGGCTATTCCAGATCAAGATCTACGAATTGAGTCGCCTCCAATGGCAGATTGGCTAGAGACATTCCGATCAGTTCGTCCACATATCCTCATCCGATTTGGAAAATGGGAGGAAATCATTGACATGCCACTTCCTGTGGACCAGAAACTGCTCTGCGTGACCACCGCGACGATTCACTATGCCAAGGGTGTTGCTTATGCGGCCCTGGGGAATGTTGAAGAGTCAGCTAAGCAGCGAGAACTCTTTATTGCTGCCAAAGCTCGTGTGCCGCCGACCCGTACGCAGTACCCTAATAAGTGCCTTGATGTCTTGGCCGTGGCCGAAGCCATGCTCGATGGCGAACTTGAGTACCGACGAGGCAACATTGAGCTTGCCTTTGAGCATCTTCGAAAGTCAATCGATCTCGATGATGGTCTGCGATACGCTGAGCCGTGGGCATGGATGCAACCCGCCCGTCATGCATACGCCGCTCTCCTCATGGAACAAGGCCGCATCGAAGAAGCTGCTGAAGTATATCGCACCGATCTCGGATTGAATAATAAGTTATTCAGGGCCAGGCACCACCCTAACAACGTCTGGGCCCTCCACGGCTATCACGAGTGTGCAGTGAAGCTGGGGCTTGACGGCGAGGCGCGGATCGTAAAGCAGCAGCTTAAGACGGCTATGGCTTTTGTGGATGTGCCTATCGAGTCGTCGTGTTATTGCAGACGGGATGTTGAGAACCCTGTGGGGTGTTGCCGTTTATAATTCACTGCTTATAGATGACTACATTGTTATGAAGACATGGCGATAGTTTATTAGATAGCCTAGACTCTTGTTTAATGATTGGATTCACACGGCCTTTGGGGATGGCTATTCGCGGTACATGATGAGGTGAGCGTTATTCGGATAAGAGATTTGTCAATTATTATTCCTCCGGGAACAAAAGAATTATGGCCTTGAGGAGAGATGATAGATGCATTAAACTCTTCAAAGACCGCCCTAAGTTTATGATGATTTACCTAAATATTTTTGTTATTTAGGATTGAGGTCTCAAGATTTCTTGCTTCTTATGGCTATCTAATGCTTGAGAGTATCAGAATCTGTGAAAATGATCCGAGGATCAATTGACATACCTATTTAATCTGGTGTCGCTTGAGCCGGGAGATGTTGACTCAAATTGCCTATGGTATTGTTCTGTACGCACGTTGAATTGAAGCAAACCCCACAGGCATAGATGGAGTGACTCCAATAATTAATTATACCCAACATCCACTTGCCTCCGACATCCAACATAAGGTCCCTAGTCAACTTATGACTCGGATCTGATATAAAGATGCCACGTCCTACCAAGAAAGGAATTTGGTAAGCTTAATTTCCTAGGGAAAGCATCTCTCAGCTAACATAGGCGAAGCAATACTTGCCGACGTCGCAAGCTAAAGTGTACAATCGACGCTATTTCCAAGTCCTTGTTCTGATGCGTGTAGCAGGCAATCAAGCATTTCCCATCTGTGGACAATGCACAACGAGTGGTCTTTACTGTGATAGATCAGAGAAACCAACACGTTTCAGTCTGTCATCTTACTCTTGTGGAGTTACTTAGCTGACTGCTCAGAAAGTCCACCACCAAGAATTGCCCAATCCTGACTCTCCACGAACAGCTTTACAAGACCAAAACATAGCGCGCCTCTTCCATTCTTACACTTCTAATATCTCGGAATGGTATGATCTCAGCGACTCAAAATGTTCCTTTGGCCTTGAAGTTCCGTCCATCGCCCTAGACGAACCTCTTCTCTTCTGTGCTGTCATCGCCCTCTCCTCGATGCATGCCTGTAAAACATCAGCTCCAAGTTTTCGAAAAGTCGCTGAATTCTACCATCATCGCTGTGTTCAATTTCTCATCGCGTTGGACGCAGGCGATGAGCTCATCAGCCGAGGTGTAGCCCTCGCTGCGACGTGTCTTTTACGTTCATATGAGATTCTTGACGGCGATGTTGATCCCAACATGCATCTTCGTGGTGCTTACTCAATGGCTTCTCTCCACGATGTGCTCTCAGGCATACCAAAAGCAGGCTTATTAGGTGCTGGGTTCTGGAACTATCTCAGAGAGGACATTACGTTCAGCCTATTTGAGGAGTGTCCATTGAAGATGGACCTGGAGAGCACACCATTGACCATTCAGCATAGCTCTGATCAAGATTATCTCAATTCCATTACTTTGATTTTGGGCAAGATAATCAATATGTCTTTTAAACAAGACACCGATGGACTTCAGTGGGACTATATAAAGCAAGACCTCAAAGGCTGGCGGAATTCTTGCCCTCGTCACATGAAGCCGTACTCAAGACTGCAGGGTGACACTGTCACATCTCATCTATTTCCCGCAATATGGTTCCTACAGCCTTGTCATGGTGAGCCAAGTCCTTGCCTGCCTCAAATCATACATGCCACTAACGCCGAATAGCTGCGATACTTCACTATTACCTCGTCGCAATGACAATAGTCTATATCCACGCCTCTCCAAGAAGTCTAGAGGACCTAGGCGGCCTTCATCTCCCTGAACTTGAAGCTCAGTCCAAAGAACAATTTCTCGAGAACTTTGCCCTTGAGATATGCGGCATTGCTTTCACTGCCAAGGTGCCATCAGTTCTGGTGAACGCATTCGGGCCAATAGCTTTTTGTAAGCAATACCATCCCGTCTACGCCATAAATTCTAACGCTTGAATAGGCGCAAGATTTATCAAAGCCGAGGCGTCGCAGCAGGAGCTGATTCGGCAACTACTCGCATGTAAAACATCCATAGGATGGCCAGTTGAGCGACTCATTGGTGATCTGAAGGGATCATGGGGGATGGACAAAGAGTAGAGTGGCAATATCGGTATCACTTAGCGTGTTACCACCGCCAAAGCCACGGGACAATGTTACTTGAAGCAATATCGTTGACAGGTCTCTTCAGAGCAAGCTGTTGCATCGTGGCGGCCGAGAATCCGTACCAGTGGGGAAAGGTTTTCCGAGCTCGGGAAATCAACATCACCAAGTTTACTCATTACAAGTATAAATGAGAAGGCCTTTCCACTCCCAGGAATATCAAAAACAGTCTTTCAGAGTCATTCGAAGTACTTCAACTCCTATCACATACTTTATTAAGGTCTTTCATCATGTTGCGCGCCCAAAGGCTTTCCTCGGTCTTCGCGAAACATGTTCGCACTTTTGCAACAGTAACACAACCTTCTCAGGTCGGAATTGTTCGACCTTCAGCTCAAGAGGTAAAGAATCAGACTCTGGACTCTAGAAATCTTGAGAAAGCTGTGCGACACATGCACAAAGATGGCTTAGTTGTTGTGGAAGATGTTGTCCCTCACGAGGACATCGACATCCTCAACAAGAAGATGATTGAGGATGCTCATACCCTACAGGCTCGGGGTGACAAGGGACCTTTCAACTACAACAAGGGAAACATTCAGCAAGATGCTCCTCCTGTTTCTGAATACTTTAGCCCCTCTATCTTCACAAGTAAGTACACGTCTACGAGATTGTCCTACCTCAAATGGCTTACACGTCTCAGACCAAATTGCCACACAAATCACTACTGCCATGATGGGCCCTCGGCCAAAGTGGACGTTCTGCTCAGCCAACTCTGCAATGGCAACTCTTCCTGGAGGAACTCCTCAGCGCCAGCCCGTTCATTCAGATGCAGACTTTGCACACCCAGACCATCCCTTTGCCCTTGTCGTTAATATTCCCCTGGTCACAGCTACACCAGAGAATGGGTCCACAGAGATCTGGCTTGGCACCCATAATGGGTTTGTTCTTGATGCACAAGAAGGTGCACATGGTGAGAGAGCCAGCGGTCGCATCAGAGAAGAGCTCCTGCGACAACGTCAAGAGGTCTCACCGCCCTTGCAGCCCATCATCAAGAAAGGCAGCATCGTCGTGCGCGATCTTAGACTCTGGCACGCTGGCATGCCCAATACTACGCAACAGACTAGGGTGATGCTCGCCATGATCCACTTTGCGCCGTGGTTCAGGAACAGAATGAGACTTGAGCTGGGTGAAGACATAAAGCCTATTCTAGAAGGTCTAGAAAAAGAGGGAAAGCTGGGGTTGGATGTGCCAGTGGATTGGGCGAGCAGGGAGGCTGTGCTTGAGGGTTACCTGAACCGAGGATTCGGGAATAGCTATGATTTCAGCCAAGAAGCTTGAAAGCTTGGCATATAAGCTTATTTTTAGGATCTAAACTCAGAATCTGATGTGTAGTATTGCATGTATGTACATACTTTCGTCTATTGTCACTTATAAAAATGCAATCTAGTTAAAAGTTGCCAAGTATTCATCGTATTCGCAAAATAAATCTAAAAGATAATTGGTATAACACCTAAACTCCATATCCCATCATGAACAACCATCATTAGTCAGAATCGCTGCTGCTGGAGCTACTGTCCATGCCGCGGCTCTTGTGCTTCTTATCCTTCTTGTGTTTCTTTTCCTTCTTGCCCTTCTTGAACTTGTTCTCGAGCACATTGGCACCGATAGCACCAGCGGCCGCAGCTCCAAGACTGCTTAGAAGACCACCGCCGGCTGTGTGGGCAGCCCAAGCAGCGGCACCTCCACCGACGAGAGTGGCTCCGAGACCGCGATCACCGTCGGGGCCGGGTTGGCCGGGAGGGTATTGTCCAGGAGCGCCTCCCTGGGGATAAGCAGGGGCGCCATACTGAGGGTTGTTGTGCTGTTGTTGAGGATAGAACGATGAGCCGCGCTGGTCGTAGGTGGGTTGTTGGCCGTACTGCTGCTGAGGAGGAGCTTGCGAGCCGTAGCTGGGCTGAGGCGGGTGGGAGGAGTATTGAGGCTGCTGTTGGCTGTAGCCGTAACCCTGAGGTTGTTGCTGCTGGGAGTACTGCTGCTGAAATGGTGTTAGTTATGGCATAGAAGAGTTGAGAAGAAGGACATACCTGTTGGGGATAGCCGCCCTGCTGAGGATAGCCCTGAGGTTGGCCATAGTTCTGCTGCTGAGGATAACCACCCTGCTGGCCGTAGCCACTGTTACCACTGCCGTAATAATCGTTGGCGGACATGTTGGGTTTTAGGTTATAGGTTATAGGTACTAGGTAGAGTATAAATAGATGAGAGATTGATCAATAGGATTGTTTGAGTGACGAGTAGATAACTAGACGAGATGATGATGGATGGAAACTCAAAACGACAGCTCCTCCCCCCGCCTTTTAAATACCTACCACCACGATCGCTCCATGTCTCCCGTTACAGCAGATGAGCTGCTTTGGCTTAGCTTGTCATTAAATCCGCCTTAGCTGACAAAAGGCCGACAAGGCTTCTTCACGTCACAGACCACTTACCACTCAGTAGGACCAGGTAGGCGCAGTTCACAGCCGCACACACACTAGACACAAGCCTGTAAGCTCAAACTAACCGCTAACGGTGCAGGGCTGAACCACTAATATCGTCGAGTGACATGCTGTGCACCGTTTGTGGGGTTGTCGGGTTTCCCGAGTCCGAACCTGGGAACAGGCTGAGCCACAATCTCTGTAGCAATTGATCAGCAGGGTCTTGTTCTGTGCATGGAACATGAGGCAGAATATCGAAATGCTCACCAGATGCAGAATAGCACACGAACCAATAAGCAAAGAAATTAAACATTATTAAGCTATCATCACAAAACGGAAACTAACTTAGTCTAGGCTATCTCGTTAAAGCCACGCTTGACTTGGTCGCATATCTCCTCCACTATCCTCTCCTCTGCCGCCTCATCACCAAGCCCCAATGCTCCGGGCTGCCACGTAACCGTGTACACCAGATCGCCATTCTTTACAGAGGCGACATTGAAACAAATGGGGCAACCTCCAACGTGACCAGGCTGCGCAAAGGTCATTTTCGATACCTTGACCTTGTCGTTATTCGCGTTGTCGCCATCAAACACCCCAACATTGCTGAACTCGTATGACGAATCCCTCTTCTTGCCAATCTTACCAAGAGTCCATTTCCTCATACTCGGGACATATCGAAGTAGACCAATGGCGTTATCTTCGAGTTTGGTGGAAGTCATGGCGAACTCCTTTGTCGCTTCAGCAGCTGATGCCCACTCTTGTTCAGTCAAAGGACCTGTCGCAGCGCTACGAAGATGAATAGTGTAGGAACCGGATACAATATCACTCGCCACGTCATTGGACATGCCGATTGATCTTCGCATATTTATAGCTGTTTGCGCCACGAAATTGGTGACGTTGTTGTCCTGGACTGCCTTGCTCAGTGCGCGGGTGATGAGCTGGTGCATGACTCCTGACAACCTCGCATCGTGAGTCCGCGCAAGCTGAACAATCATGTTCACCTGCGATGCCTCGACCTGTCGGATTTTGAGTTTGTTGCGATATGTCTCAGGGTTGAAGAAGATGGGCGCTGCTGTCCATGTACCTTCGTCGACATAGGACGCTGAGACACGCAGGCCGAATAATCGGACGAGAAAGTAGGGCATGTACTCGGCGAGAACTGGTGCCAGTAGAAATGACCATGAAATTGGCAGTCTTTCCGCGGTGTCGAATGGTTCAGGCAGAGGTTTGTCTGTTGGAGCAACGATCGAGGATGGTTCAGTTGTAGGACTTTCTCTCAGTCCAGCAAGAAACGTCTTGTGAAAAGCAACCCCAGTGATGCCATCGCCAATGGTATGAGAGAAGGAGAATGCAATGTGGCATTGAGACGGGCCGAGGGGAAGAATAACGATCCTCCATGGTGGAATTTCAGCGACAAAAGGACGGTCTATCTCTGCTTCCATGGATCTTGCAATGGCTTCTAGTGAGTCTGTCTCAGCATTCTTGTCCTCAACAAAGCTGATATGCTCCTCGACATTGATGCTAGCCACTCGCTCATAGAAGCCCTTGTCGGTGTTTCTGTCTCCAACAATAACGCAGAAGAAGGGGTGTTCTTCAATGCAGCGTTTTAACGCGTGGAAATAGGTCGAAGGAGACTTGACGTTGACTCCATCGGCAAAGTCATAGACTGCACCAATGACGACTGCGTTGTAGTAACCAACGTCCTCACGGGCAATAGTCCGCATCTCATTTGGACCTATCAAGCATCAGAGGAGGTAGCAGTTTGACATCTGGTAGGGTTACATACTCGCGTATCTAAGGAACTCTGTTTTCGGCGGCATGATGAGATGTGTTTTCACTAACGGTGGATGCTCTAAATGTGCTGTTTCTACCGAACTCTGGGAGGTTTACTCTTATAAGGAGCGTTTGACTCTTGTTGAAAGTGTCAGACGGCCTTGAAACGGATTTACTGGTGATCTGAGGCAATTGATTGGGAAGTCGGCGGCCTCTTGAGGTTATCGCGGAAATTAGATGTGGGCCCGTTTACGATCCTTCGATACGGGGAAATCCAGTCCCGAGAACCCGACACTATCTCCTCAAGAAGTTATGAATACTTGTTCATCTTGTGCAGATATTCAACTGTTCATCTAACAACTTTTCTCTATCATCCCTCTTAGATGGAAGAATCAGGAACGGCCACTCTCTTGGCAACTGGGGTCCTCAGCCGGACAAGCATCATGGGAGCTTTTTTCTGTAAGAGGTCGGGGCAACTCTAGTCCGCTATTACAGACAACTGAAACCTCTGATAAACAAATTGCCAGCTCGGGAACTGCTAGTCCAAGGTTGACGCGTATTCCTCATTCTCTCTTGTACAAGGTCAGCGTTATATTCGCGCAGACGGCAACAACATCCGATGTCTAAAGCTCGGAGCTAAGACTTTCTAGGCCTTAGGGAGCAAGAAAACATAAGACCTAAGTTTAGGATAATAAAATGAATTCTATAAAAGGTATCCTAAACTTACCCTAAATTTATACTAAGTTACCTAAATATTTTTATCACTTAGGCTTAAGGTCCTGAGTTTTATTTCCTCCCCTAGCTAGGCAACGAGATTATGTGGCGGCCTCCGAGTTAGAATCCTGCAAGGAATTACGGCCTGGGCATCTTTTTCAGGAAGACCATATCGGCAACTCGAAGCACAAAGACAATATTGTGCTTGAATTTTGAGAACAACTTACTATGGCTTGGCAATCAAATATTACCTAGGACTTGCGTTTCATTGGGATCTTCTAAAGGGTTCTTGGCTAGATATCTCGTGGAAGTATTACAAGTTCTAGCAATCAACCTACTAGCATAGGTGAACATATCATGGCTACTACCAGACCAATCCCAAGTTGGATTTCTCCAAACTCCTTTGTTTTTCATTATCGTTATTGAATGGCTGTGATGTGAACAGAGAAGGGATTGAAGTAATAGATGTACAATTGGTTTCTTAGAGAAGAGCAGGAGCATCACATTACCCGCTCTGTTTACACTAGATTCCTCGACCTCAACTATACGTTCAGCAACTATTCCATCACTAAGTATTGCCACTAACTCTTCAAAGTCATATACAACCCAGATATAAATGTTTTGATTCCCCTCGGCGTGGTTAATCAAGGTATGTTTGATTAAAACGACCAACTTGTACTAAGTATCTCCTATCAGCCTCTGTTGCGCATGCAGTGTTGTTTGACATACTGCACTTTCACTAGAAGTTCTATTATGTAACGATGAGTCTTGGAAGGGCATAGATTGAGTTCTAATTGGCTGTTTCTCGCCTGTTAATTGAAAGTGCAGATCTTACATGTCTTTCTCAATATAGATTCAAACAGAACTCTAGTTGCCACTTCATTGAAAAGATAAGTTACGGTTCGACCTCAGTGTAAACTTATACATCTTGAATGTATTACTTAGAAACCATAATCAAGTCTGGCCAGAGGTTAAAGCACAGGATTATTAAACATATCAACTTACGAATTGCGAAGAAAATAGTTATTAGATAAACCGGAGGTGCGAAGTTGTCGACGCCGTATCTCCCCAATACAGTCCACATCCCACTCGGCAAGGGTCGACATGCGGGAATAAACATAGTAGCTTATAAATTAGGGTCCAATGTGGATGATCGGATCTTGACAACTCCCTCCGCTAACAAGTATTGGCAGATCGAACGACACACCTGCTTGGACAGTCCACATCTGGCCAAATATGGACCGATCAGCTCATAGAGACGGACTCTCAAGATAAGGATTTCGATAAATATATCCAATAAGGTGCCCAAGAACCCTTATAGAATCGAATTCGGGTACATCGATCCGTCGGTGGTGGCCGCAGGTGTCATTATGGTGGACCTGTTTCAATCTGACGCCATCGTAGACCCTGTCACATAAGAGGATAAGGATTCAAGCCGGAGGGGAAGTGAGCGGGGAACCTTGGAGAAGATTTAAAGAGCCAGCGGGCGATGCTGGTAATAGAGTTAGGATATCGACTGGACAAGTTGTCGATTGTCATAGTGGGTCAGGATAGACATGAAGACTTATTTCAACTCCGAACAGCAAATTTATATTTCGACCATGTCTTGAAGAATATATATAATCTAAATAGAATAGATGCTTTTACAATTATTCTAATCTCTCAGTCAAAGGTTACAGTTGATCTGATTAGCCGAGATCGGGGTGGGTGCGAAGGCGTGATCATCAACTATCTGTCGCAATATTTCGCCATACTCGATATTAATAATGAAACTCAACTAGCACGCATATACAACGGGTCTAAAACATCTTCGAGGTAACGTTAGTATTGATATAAGATCTCAGGATATCTCTTGGATTTCAGCTTCGTTGTTTTGATCAGATAATATCATATAATTAGTCGCCAAAATGCCTACAGAATTCATCAGCCTAACGTTCCCAAACCCCTCTACGGAGCTCAACCCCATTCCCGGGGCTGGAATTGATCCCGAGTTCCTTGTCCGGTATGCCCGGAATCTTGATGATTACAAGTTCAACTACACTCTGATCCCCTATCACTCCTCTTCCTTTGACCCTTTCACCATCGGTGCCACTATCCTGGCTGTTACCAAGCAAATCAAGATTGTCATTGCTCTTCGTCCCAATACCCTCTATCCTACCGTTGCTGCCAAGGCTCTTGCTACACTTGATCAGCTTGGCAAGGGCCGAGTTGTTGTTCACTTCATCGCTGGTGGAGATGACACTGAGCAAGCTCGTGAGGGTGACTTCTTGAACAAGTCTGAGCGATATGCTCGTCAGGAGGAGTATATCAAGATTCTTCGACGGGCATGGGCTTCCCCTGAACCTTTCGACTGGGAGGGCAAGTACTATACTTTCAAGAACTTTTCCAACCAAGTCCGTCCTACAAATGGCCACATCGACGTCTCAGTAGGCGGTTCTTCTGATGATGCCTACCGTATTGGTGGCGCTCTTGCCGATATCTTTGGCCTATGGGGTGAGCCTCTCAAGGAAACCAAGGAGCAGATCGATCGTATCTACGTCGAGGCTGAGAAGGCTGGCCGCAAAGATCGTCCTCGCATCTGGGTTACCTTCCGTCCTATCATCGGCGATACAGAAGAGATCGCTTGGGCCAAGGCTCACCGAACCCTAGACCTCCTCAAGGAGAACCGACCCAAGGGCGTAGGCAAGGCTGCACCCAATGACAACCGCCCTCAGAACGTTGGATCTCAACGTTTGCTCGATATTGCCAAGAAGGGTGAGGTCCAAGATCGTGCTCTCTGGTATCCTACCGTCACAGCCACCAATGCTCGAGGTGCTTCTACAGCCCTGGTAGGCTCTCACCAGACTATCATTGATTCTATTCTTGACTATGTCGACCTTGGTGCCGAGCTTATTTCTATCCGTGGATACGATAACCTGAACGATGCCATCGATTATGGTCGATACATCCTGCCTGGCGTACGAGCTGCTCTAAAGGAGCGACAGAATGGCACAAACGGCGCCAATGGAAGCAATGGAACTACTAAAGAAGAAGTTAAGCCGGAGCTTAAGGAGGAAGCCAAGGTTGTTCCAGTTGTTGCTTAAGTTTTGGATTGCTGCTTGGGATTAGCCTTGAGTTCATAGTATATAGCCTTCAGAATGAAATAATAACGATTATAACATTTTGTGTCTTTGAAATTTCTCTCATGAAGGCCCCTAAACATTGTAAAAGTCGTCTCATCGTGCCTATATCAAGTGACAGCGGAAGAGCTTCCTGGCTTCTAGTTCCAGGGTCCCAAACTTGAACTCACGAATATCACGTTTATTTAAGGTAAGCCTATATACACCGAAAATTAAAATGAAATGATGATTCCAAATCGCAACGAACAAGAGTGTGTATACTTATTCGTCTCACTATAGCTCAAACAAGCAGACAAGTCTATCTTCAGCCGTGAGTTTATACTCTGCAGTCCACGTACTACTCAGAAGGATATAAACTTCCCGAAAAGGGAAAAATGATGATTGCTTATTGTTTCCTCAATCAGCCATAATTTCAGTCAAGTCACTTATAGTTACGCAATAAGATCCAGTTGATTAGATGAGTCGTAAAACCAAAGATGCAGCTTAAAACATCGAACCATTCAGACATCGTTCAACCCCGCAGCCCCGCAAACTTGAAGAATGATTCCAAAGCCAAGATCGCATCAATAACCAATCAGAAAATTGGCTTACAAAGTTCAGCTGTAAATATGGTTCGACATTGCAGCCTCTCAAGTCTCGGCAGTTTATGACACTTTTGCAACGAAATTGTTAAAGGTTGGGCATGTTCGACTACTATTGAGCATCACTTTTGTTAATGGTCTGTGACTCAGCTTCAAATACCAAGACAAGCCAGTCGTCAAAATTATACGAAATAGGAATGGGCTCGTGAGACTGATCTACTGCAGCCCGCCATCCTTATGAGTTCCCACATGACTATAACGATTGTGGGCAAAGCAAGGCAGTTCAACGTATACAAAGTTGTAATGATTCCATATGATCGACTTCGATGCCGTTGGCTAAAATAAAGCTCCGAGGAGATATTCAAATTAGTGTCCTAAATTGCTATTAACGCTCTCGTAATTGGTCCACAGCGTTGCTCTGTTTTTATATATGTAGTCCTTGGATGACTCTTCACTGCCGGCAAATAAATACCCGCCACGAACTTTGAAATTCTTTTCTCTACTCAGTATCTTCCTCGACTCGTTTTTGAATATTTCAATATCCAAGTTCAACAGAGATGTATATCAAAGGACCTCACGCCGAAACCGAGCTTCCAGTGCTCAGGAAGCTAATTCGAGAGAACCCATTGGGTCTTCTGACTACTGCCATTCCCTCCCCAAACTTCTCCTTTCTTCAGTCCAGCCATATCCCTTTCGTTCTAGATATCGAAGATGAGACAAGCGAGACGGAGTTGGGAAAGCTACGCGGTCATCTCGCCAGAGTCAACCCTCAGAGCAAAGCCATGATCGAGAACCTTACCGAAAATCCAAACCTGAATAACGTAATCGAGCAAGACGTTATTGTGATTTTCAACTCTCCGATTCAACACTATGTCACACCAAAGTTCTACACAGAAACCAAGCCTACGTCTGGAAAAGTCGTTCCAACATGGAACTACGCCGCAGCACAAGTCTACGGCCGGGCCAAGATCTTTTACGATACCAAGACCGATGAGGCTGGACAATTTCTTTCTAAACAGATTTCTGATCTCAGCCGACATGCCGAGACTAATGTCATGGGCTTTACTGGCGGCGACAATCCTGTGGACTGGAAGGTATCTGATGCCCCTGACCGATTCATCGAGCTTCTGAAGAAGAGTATCATCGGAATCGAGATTGAGATTACGCACATGGGAGGAAAATTCAAGATGAGCCAAGAGATGGGCATGGGTGATCGAGAAGGAGTCATCAAGGGCTTTTCTAGGCTTGAATCTGAGACTGCGAAGGGGATGTCGAAGCTGGTTCAGACTCGAAGTGATTTGAAGGAGGCGAAAAAGGAGAGCGGTAAATTGGATATCTAGGGAGAAGTACTGTTATCTCAGAAGAGTTCGTCGACTACCTAAGAAGCCGATATACGAGTTTGTTAATGCCGTATGTATTTCTTAGATCGAAATTACTTATTTACCTGCTACTCAAGCGCTTCAATCACCAAGAGCTCACTCATACTCGATTCATTGCCTCTCATCATCATGCACGATTGGTCAGGCTGGTCATGCAGGAAAGAAAACTTAGAATCTTAATCCTAAGTAATAATAATATTTAGGTAACTTAGTATAAGTTTAGGATAAGTTATATAGACTTAGGATATCCTTTACTAAGTTTATTATAATGCCTTACATTAAGGTCCGGTGTTTTCTTGTCCCCTAAGGTCTAGTTTGTTCATTTCGTTACCTTAATTCAAAGATATAAATATTTCTCCGATGCAGTCAAGCATGGGCAGAGAGTGTTGGTTTATACAGGAATTGTAGAAACAGACGACGGTTTATTGAGTTGGCGGCTCATCAACAGGAATCGACAGACCTGTTTCGGAAGCATTTCGACTATTTCACAAGCCCGGACTGCGGTTTACAAATGCCGGGCTCCGTCTCGGGGATCCCCCGATCGTTAGAACCCGGAACGGTCGACGATCAGTTGATACTCGGGCCTCAACGAGCGAACGACGGCAGCCAGGTTTCCACGTGGAGTCTGTCATTGGGGCTTGGCTCCCGCTGCACTCCATAAAATACTGTACCTAGCTTACCTTTGACGCCATGCTATGCCATTCCACACGATTAACTTTCCCATGTTTGCTAAACTCTGACTCCCCCAAAAGACGATATCACTCCCACGTGCAGCAAAGTCCCTTACTCAGGGTCTTGAAGATCTCACCCACTGCCTATCTAGATCCGGCGTCGAGGCCATTGTCCATCCCGCGCTCGCTATTCAATTGTCAATAAGAGTCTCCCGAGCAACGAATCAGCGGCCCCACGTGTCGCCGTGGGTCGTCGCGTTGCAACCCTTCAACCGCTCACTCTGCACGGGATGAGGGGCTTGAAGCGGGCCTGAGGCTTCATATCAGCAAGTTACGTTTGGCGGAAGCGAAATGTGATTGTCGAGCTTCGAGCTTGTGACCGTTCTAGACGGTAAAAAGCCTCGCGTTTGCCGTTGGATGCGGGAGATTTTGGGCATGCTATGGAGATGCAGAGTGGGGGTTGGAATTCAAGATAATTTATATAAACACCAAAGAATCAATCAATGCCGCAGATGGTGGGGTTTACTGAATAAGTCAAAGACATTCTCGTTTTTTCTCTGATATTCTTGTGTTGTTGCAAGCCTCGATCTACCGTTGGTTCATTTCGGTACTTAATCGAGACTCCATCCCCAGATCGAGATCATGGACAAAGCTACACTTCTAACGGCTTCCAAAGTGGATCTGAATGTTTCGACCCATCCCCGGTCCGACATCACCAGGTTGATCGTTCCGTCACTACAAATTGTCCTTCGCTTCCAGAGCCTTGTCGGTTCAATCTCCATCTTCCTTTGCCTCCATGCCTGCATCATCGCGAGCAGCGCGTTCGTCGCCGTCCTTCAGGGGAGCAAGATCCTGTCCCTAAACGTCCTCATCGCAGCGAAATATAGCGCTTTTCACAGCTTCAACATGTCTACCCAAGCCGTCGCCAGTGCATGGAACTCCAAGAATGTCCAGAGATTACGAAAAAAGCTCTGGTACGAATTCGCCGTCTTCATTCTCGGCAGCGGGAACATGGTCTTCCTCATGCTCTTCTGGCCTGGTTGGTGGGTGCTCGCGGGCGCGTGCTGGGCAGGCTGGATGCTCTTCGGTTGAAGCTTCTCTCACGCGTTTTGAGTGTCTATAACCTCAGCCATACTCAAAAGGTGATCCACTCGTGATATATCCAACGCCCAAGGAGCCGGCACAACCCACTTCCAAACACGTATCGATGTTTTGTCACAATCGACAATACCATCTCAGCGCGAGAAGAAGAACGTATTACCACCAGCATCCTTCCTCACCTCCTTCCCGTAGTCCTTCTCGGGGTCAAACTCCTGCCACATACTCGCAGGAAAGATATGTTTGTTCTTCTCGTACCACCGCCTATCAACAACCTTAGTAAGAGTGGGATCTTCGTCGGCGCCCTCAAGGGTGTTGATATCGGGAAGCGCGTCCGCAACAGCAGCCTTGGAGGCGGGCGTGACGAGATGGTCACTGGAGTCGGCGTTATCGATCGATTCGGGTTTTCGAGGAGGTTCCGCACTGTACTTAAATACAGGCTCGCCATCAGGACCGGGTGTCTTGTTCATGGCGAAGAAGTAGAAGTCATAATGCTAGACGACAATCAGAAATTGTTAATAACAAGCGCGAGCGAGTAAACTTACGTGAGGTATAATGACTGTTCCGCGAACAAGCATCAAATCGTCTACTCCAACTCTAGCCCATTCCCTCCTTGCGTTGGACTTTTCACCCACGCCCAGATCGGCGCCAACTTTGCGACTTTTGTCGAGGAACACCCATATGAAGTCGCCCTTCTTCAATCTGACGATTCCACCAGGAATATTAGTCCCGTCGTAGAATACGAAAGGTAGCGCAATCTCGGTTGCTTTGACGGCCGCTTGGATAGCCAAGAACTCGCGGCGTAATGCATCTCGTTCAGCGGCTTCCTTGCGCAACGCAGCTTTCGTCATGGCTTTGGGTACTATGCCCACCGAAGCATTTGCCTTGAATTTGGTCTTGACCTCGCCCTCATTACCTTCGGTATCGTCTGCGCGGGCCTTCTTGGCCTTTGTCGGTTTTATCAATGGCCCCTCATCCTCACCCTCTTCATCGTCGAATGATAACAGTTTCTTCCCCTGCTTCTTTTTCTTCTTCTTCAATGGTTGCGCACCACTTCCAGTATCACTGCCAGCGTTGTCAGGAGTGCCTGTCAAGGAAGCATCCGGAGTGGACGTGCCTGAGTACGCAGCTTCTCGAGATTCGCGCTCCTGTTGTTCAAGGACTTCGGCGCGTCGCTTGCGAAAATCGGAGAGGGCAACGAGACCGACCGTATGCGTGGAGAGTCGTTCATTGGTAGTTTTATTCTGCGGCGTGAACCGCGACGCTCTTGAATCTGACATTTTATGGTTTGGTATGTAACAGTTGGTGGAATAAAATGGCTTTTGTTGAACTTGATAACTGCGATAACGATAAGAAGACGGTGTCAAGTACAATCATGCACTGTTCATCATATGTCACTCCAGGGTGGGCTTCAATGGTTGGAAGTCATGGTCAACCAACGCTCACTGTAATAATTTATTACCGATATGTATAAGTCTTGTGATATAAAGACTGCCTTGAGGTCTAGGAATGCTATCACATTTTTAATGACGGTTGTGCAGCGTAATTATTGAACGAGATGTCGTCTGCCAACCATTTCATCGATTTAAACTCCACCTTTGCTTCGACGTCATTAACTCGACCTCAGCCCATCACCACTGGACATGCAACAACCTTATTTCTTGCGAGCTCTGCTGTCGACTTCATCAAGAAAACTAAATTTCATAAAAATTAGAACTAGATCCATCATGACAAACGTCGATACTTCTCTACCTCCAGAGCCAAGTGGTGCAGCCGCCAAGTTTGCAGCTCAGCATGCTGAAGAGCATTCGCTGAAGCTCTACGGAGGCTGGTTCTGCCCTTTCGTCCAACGAACTTGGATCACTATTCACGAAAAGAAGATTCCTCATCAATATGTAGAGATCAACCCATACAAGAAAGAGGCTCACTTTATGGCCATGAATCCTCGTGGATTGGTCCCTACTCTTGCAGTACCCGTTGACCCAAAGGGCAAGGTGCAGAAGCCTCTGTTCGAGAGCAACATCATTTGTGAATATCTCGATGAGGCGTTCACGGACGAGTCTAAGTATGGGCCTCGACTTCTTCCTACCGATCCATATGAGAGGGCAAGATGTCGTATTTGGATCGATCATATCAGCACACGCATCATTCCCTCATGGTACAAGCTCATACAACACACCCCCGACAAGACTTTCAGCCTTGATGAGGCAAGAGAAGAACTGAGTGAGCGCATCAAGTCGCTCGTTGAGGAGATGGACCCTGAAGGCCCATGGTTTCTGGGCTCGACTCTGAGTCTTGTGGATATTTGCTTAGCACCGTGGGCGAAGCGCCTGTTCTTAATTGATCACTACAAGGAGGGCGGCCATGGGATCCTGGAATCTGGAGAAGGTAAAGATGGAGAGACTTGGAAGAGATGGAAGAAGTGGTACGATGCAATTCTCAGTCGCGACAGTGTGAAGGAGACGTGGAGTGCCGATGAACGATACATCATTGCGTATAAGAGATATGCCGAGGATACTACCAACTCTGAAGTTGGTCAGGCTACTCGTTCGGGCAAACGCCTTCCTTGAGGGGTTTGAGTAACGGCTGTTAGCGATATCCAGACGCAAGCTTTGTTAATTCAGCTTTTGTTCGACTCGATAACTCTTTTCTCTCATGCATAGGCATCTAAGAGTCAGAACATATATCATTTCACTCCTTCGCATATTACATCAAAGCTGATAACTATGAATACAAGCCACAGGGACACCGAAGATACTGTTCCCGTTTCCATAGTCCATTGTTGTCACGGCGCCAAATTTTCGTTCGCGTACTTCATGTAATGGCATAAGAAGGACTGCCGAATAAGTTTGTTCTCTCAACAAACAGCTGATGTCACTACATTTACCTTGACCGCGGTCCGATGGTTACATATGAAAAAGTGCCTTTACATGATGTTGAGATTTATTTGCTTCAAGGCCAATGGTACGTAACCATCTTCTAAAGCCAATCGCTTCGATGAATCGCTCGTGACAATGCAGAAGGACTTCGAGAACACGGCACGAGCCTTCGATTACTCGCCCAGAGAGATGACGAGGCAAAGGTTCAACGTAGCATCGCAGTTAGTAAAAGTCCGAAATGGTACAGGTGGGCGTTGTTGAACACCGACGGTGGCTTAAGCCACTGTGATCCACGAAAGAGCCGCACTTTTGTAGTGGGATACGACCCTTTTTGAAGATACACCACTTCAAGACTCGGTCAGATACTGGCCCTCTGTGGAATGAGAGCTATTCAAATGCTTGACAAACGCCTAGACCCTCAAAGTACAAGGCGTAGACGAGGAAAGCAATCAAGAAGGTAGCCAGACAATAAGGTTTCACATAGAAACGAAGTCCTCGCCTTCTGCGAGGTTCACCCTCGACCTTCACACAAGACCATTCGGTACCTAGACAGTGGACGTCATTCCTCAGTACCAACCAATACTCGACATGGTACAAAACCACGCATCATCTCACAAACAAAGTCCCAGACTTCCGACAGCGGGATCACAAATGTCCCGTCGTCAATCGGCTCCGGCGTCGGTGGCCGGTAAGATACCGATACGGGCCATCGCACATGCTCTGAACGTGGCTCTGTGACCGTCCGAGGCAGATGCTCAAAAAAGAAAACTCGCAAGATATGAACAAACACGGCAATTGAGCAGAATAGAGAGAAAACCGATGTCACGTAAACGTCAGAAGCCCACATCCACAGGGACCACTCCGTAGGTGCCTAGTAATTATTGTTTGCCTGTCGATATGTTTAGCAACACCATGCATGACGGGGCGGGATGCAAGTCATGAGCTGAGAGGCAAGATCCCTGCCGAGGCCTTCTGGGGTCCCACAGGACAGACCTAAGTTAGATCTCTAGCGGTCAATGCCATCGGATAGCGTGCGTCGTGAAATGTCAACGAGGCAATCGCCCGCAGACCGCTCTCTTGGAATCAGTTGATAGCCGTCACTGGAAATTGTTTGTGGTACGCTTGCTTAATAAACGTGTACGGAGTATGTCTGAATTCATTATTGACAGAAACGTTGCAGACGGTGAATGAACAATAAAGCCACCTGACGGTCACCGTAACAGGGCCCAGCCTGTCGCTGTGCCTCTCAGTCTCCCCGTCCCCGTGCCTGTTCAAACATTCGATGGCCGTCGTTGTTCCTCTCGTTTATGCGGGAGAGGTGGACTCGCCGATCATAGATTGGTGAGATGGGGTTGGATCATGGGTCTAGAATTAGACACGGCACAGTCCAGCTTCTTGAGGTTTCTTCCGCTTTTCCCGCTTTTGACAAGGACTGGGACAGTTGGGAGTTGAGAATCTGCCAGGGCAAGACACCAACACACACAGCGTAACTTGTGAGTTTGCCACGAGGATTCGTTGCTGTTGCCTGTCGTGTCATCATGCCTTTTGCTCTGACTTGCATGCATACATCGTGAATGTGCCGTGCTACGCGACATCATTCGTCCCAAATTTGCAAAGATTGTCCAATATTCTGATCCTTTGTTACTATTTTCTTCTTACCGACCTAATTAGTGAAAAAGCTTGAAGAGTTTTCCCAACATAATTGCCTCATGAGAGCTTTGATATGCCATGAGAGTTACCATGATCCATCATGTGGATGTTAGTGATCTTTCGATTTTCGCATTAGATTAGTGCATCTGCCAGCCACCCTTGAACTTTGACGGCACGGAAAACTGTTTGACGACGGTTAGCCCGTCTGCCGTCAATACTTGTGGTGGCTGGTGATGGTTCAACTAACTCATTGTAGAAGCTCAACTTGAATAAAGCTGTAAAAACCTTGAGCGTGATCAAACAAGCATAAAGAAAAGCCCACCAGGCGTCGATGTTTCATGCGGACCTACGGCCTGGTTCCTAGACTCCTCCACTGTAAGCGGGTCTTCAACGCTGACTTACAGAAGACCCCAGCAGGCATTCAGTGGAAGCTTGTGATTCTTTGGGGTAATCCGTTACAGATTATGGCATTCCTAGGACCTTCGACCACGCATTATATTTTCCGTCCCGCATCATCCGTCAGGGTAGCATAGACCAGCAAGATTAATACAACGTACCCCTAATATCGCGAATCAAGAATCAATAACAGCACAAAGGAAAGCAATAGTATCACCTTGTAGGAAGAGGTTCTGGGCCTTGTTAGTTACCTGAGCTACTATTTTAGGCGCGCTGTGCATGCACAAAACCGTACCGGACTGCCGAGCTGAAGACATGGGCCCCACGGCGGGAATACGAGATCCCAGCAAGTGTACTCTGTAAGTTGGCGTGGGCTGGCTTGGGTGAGTTGTGGTTGTGGTCGTGGTTGTGGTACGTCACTTGACATATTCTCCATCATTCTCAACGCTTGTGCTGAGAATGTAGTGAATTCGGTCCTTATCTGACTCACGGATATGCATAATTCACTGGTAACCAAGTGAGTTAGGTTGAAGTATAAAGAAGGCCTTGTCCGCTCGCGTATTCGAGGTTGAAAAGATCATCAATTGACTTCAACTCCAAAGATCATCATCTCCCATCACAGACAAAGATCATCCTCACCACCCCGCAGTCTACCTAGTCTCTTTTGCAGACCAACCTCCTCACTGCTCGAGTTATAATCAGTCATAAATCTTTCTCAATTCTTCCTCCCTCAACTCATACTACTTTTTCAGTAGCCTCTCAATAATCGCCAACATGCAATTCTTCACCCTTCTCTGCCTCGCCACTTCCGCCCTGGCCCTCCCTCAGACTCTCACCAAGCGAGAGACTTGTATGGACAAGGGCAGCAAGGTCACTGAATGGACTGTCAAGGACTTCAAGTACGAGGCCGTCTACACCCAAAACACTCCCACAAAGCAGACAAACTCTGCCACCATCACCTTCACTCTTCAGAACCGCGGTGTCGGTTATGAGGGCAAGTGCTCAGCTAAGTCTACAGACGCCAAGAAGGACTTCTTCACTGGTAACACCGACTACAACTGCGATGTTCCCTTCGAGGGCGACTCTGCTTCCTTCAAGTACAACCGCAAGTCCGGCGTCATCGCCATCTTCCAGCACTGGTCCTGCGTGAAGGAGGGCGGTTGGTACGAGGCCAAGGGTAACACAACCTTCACTCCCAAGTGTACCGAGAAGACCTGGAAGAACGCTCACTACAAGGCCGACGGTGACAAGGCCTACTCCAACCGTCGGGTCACTTGCCAGCAGAAGCAGCTCAAGGTTCCTGTTCTCGAGATGCAGGCTGTCCTGTAGAGGGCGATTATTCCCACGACACTTGTTCTTCATTCGCAATTCACGACCATATGTTTTAATACCTTTTAAGCGCAAGCTTTTGGAGTTGGACTTTGCTTTTTGGGATACCACTCTTCATCCACGACTACGCCGTGACGACGGACGGATATGATCAACGATCTCCATGACATTCATTAGACTAATAGCATTAATTGGGTGGAGGAATACGGGAAAAGCTGCCGTAGCAGTAATTTAGACATTAAATGAGATAATTACATTGCAATCAAACATTATATGCTCTCAAATTGTGTGATGCTTGTGATCTTATCCAGCCGTTGACACAGCGACATCGCCTCACAATGCAGCCATGAGCGATCCCAATAACAACCGTCACCAGTAATAAATAATTGCGGCAATACCACGTATGATTAGATATCGATATTGAATATTTCGTGTTGCAAACAATGTAAAGCGGTGTGGTCGTGATGGGAGATCGCATGGTTGTGAGACATTCAAGGGAGTTGTCCAACCCCGGAACGCCATTCAATGAAAGCCATACCTGCTGTGCTATGCCTTCGCAGCAATTTTCTGCGTAACGTTGCTTGCGCTTTTGTCTTCGAGATTCTAGAAGCCACTCGGCCTCAATTGTGAAGTGTGATCTCTATACGATTTCTTGGTCGGGTTAGATGCAGGTGGCTGCATGTTATTGAAGAGTGGGTGTCTCACAACTTATTGCGATTTACTGCGCAGTTAGTTCCGGTTTCTCGATTTCCACAGGTGTCCAACACCATGTGACTTACACCGATTTCCCACAGAAAAGGAAACCCGACGTTCTTAACCTACGCTCTCTCATTTACGCCCCAATTCACATGGATCCAGCGAGCTGGACCAACCGATTGGCCAGCGCAGAGTATAAGACAAATCTCAATCAGTCTCAGCCATCTTTCAGGCCCGGCAATACATTGAAGGATTGTTTTGTATCACTCTGTCGGCGTATATCCGTGTAAGTGATGCATCGAGTCACAAATAGAACAAGCTTATGCGCGAAAGATGAGTCTGAATCCGAAGCAATGAAATTCGAACTGCGATGTTTTCTATAGTTATCTTCTTCCCATTGGAGCAATTCTTTTGTTTTCCTTGTGTTATGTGGCATGAAAAGGTTGGTCTCCCTACTCTCGAGGGAGACAACAATGCAATGCTATAGATACGGATCATACCACGTACAAAAGGGAGCGAAACTCCTTTTGAAGACTATTATATAGTTATTCTTACTCACTGGTCTTCTCTCCGAATAGCAAAAGAGGTTTATTTTACACCAAGATCTGTGTAGTTCGGATGCTCCGCGGGGAGATCTTCCTTATTTGGTTGTAGGTCAGGTCAGCATCCTTAGTCGCTTGATTAGGCCATTTCCGCCGACGGGTGTCCTCCCCACTGCTCATAGTACATCCACCACTTGAGTGGGTGTGACAATGTGTTATTCTTCGAACAGGGAGAGGAAATGATTTATTATAAATATCCATAGATTCACGATGTGTGATTCTTCATTCGTCGACTGATACTGCTCAAAGGTTTATACCAGATCCTCTAAACCCACAGCTTGTCAACCTCAACAATGGGGTGAAGATATGATATATGTACTGTATGCATCCCACTCAAGGAGTGGGGCCGTTCTTCTACCCAAGATTGACGAGAACGGTAGGTTATTCTGGCTTGGCTTCCCCGCATTAACCTACCATCGAGGCATCTCGAAGAGGCAACGAACGTTAGACGATGACGGTAAGAATCCCGAGCAAGTCCCGACCGACCTGGGGTAATCATGACAAGAGGACGTGGCTGTGATGCTTGGAAACGCGGGGTATAAATAATCGTCTATTTAAACTCAAATACTATCTATCTTCCTTCTTTGCTACCTCCAAGTTGGCTTATAGTTAATACACTTGCATCACTATTCATCATGACTACTACCCAAACTATGAAGGCTGTCAACTACCAAGGCCCTTACAAGGTCAAGGTTCAGGAGATAGAACTCCCTAAGCTGGAGCATCCTGACGACGTCATTGTCAAGGTTACGACTGTAAGATTGCCAAATCTCTCTATAGGTATCGCAATGGCTGATAAATGCTCAGGCTGCTATCTGTGGCTCTGACTTACAGTAAGAGGAACAATATGTACACAGAAAATAATACTCATGAATCATAGCATGTATGAAGGCCGAACAGCAGCAGAACCCGGCATTACTTTTGGTACGATCCTACTCTCACATAATCCATCTCGTTACTGACTTTATAGGTCATGAGAACATGGGCATTGTCGAACAGCTCGGCGAAGGTGTCACGCTGCTGAAGAAAGGAGACCGAGTCGTCATGCCCTTCAACGTCGCTGATGGCCGATGCCGTAATTGTGAAGAGGGAAGAACTGCTTTCTGCACTGGTGTCAACCCCGGATTTGCCGGAGGTGCTTATGGTTATGTCGCCATGGGTCCTTATCGAGGAGGACAGGCTCAGTACATCCGAGTTCCTTATGCTGACTTCAACGCTCTCAAGCTCCCTGCTGGCAAGGAGCATGAAGCTGATTTTATTCTGTTGGCGGGTAAGCATATGTATCTTTTATATCTTGTATTCTTTATTGATATTGTGCAGATATCTTCCCCACCGGATGGCACGGCGTTGAAATTTCTGGTTTCCGATCAGGCGAGAGCGTCGCTGTCTTCGGCGCCGGCCCCGTCGGTCTCATGGCCGCTTACTCCGCCGTTCTTCGTGGCGCATCCAGAGTATTTGTCGTTGACCGTGTTCCTGAGCGCCTTCAAGCCGCTGAGAAAATCGGCTGCACACCCATTGATTTTTCAAAGGGAGATGCTGTTGACATGATCATCAAGGCCAACGATGGAGAGGAGGTTGATCGATCTGTTGATGCTGTCGGCTACCAGGCTGTCAGTAAGAGCGGCGATACTGAGCAGCCCAATATTGTGCTAGAAAACATGATTCGAGTGACCAGAGCTTGTGGTGGGCTGGGTATTCCAGGTCTCTACGTCCCTAGTGATCCTGGTGCTTCTGACGAAGCTTCGGCGAAGGGTATGATCAGTCTTAGCTTTGGCAAGCTGTTCGAAAAGGTTTGATTTATAGTCCTCTCGGGTTATTCGAACTGAATTCTAACATTATCTTAGGGGCTTACTATCGGCACTGGCCAATGCAATGTCAAGTCTTACAACAGATATCTCCGAGATCTCATCATCTCTGGTCGTGCCAAGCCCAGCTTCGTTGTCTCGCATGAGATCAACATTGAAGAGGCTGAAGTGGCCTACGAGAAGTTTGACAAGCGAATTGACGGATACACGAAGGTTCTTATCCATCCTAATGGTGGTTTCTAGAGCTTGCACAAGAAGTAAAAGTTGCGGAGTGCTTAACGATAGCATATTGGGGAGCGTTATTTGTATCTATAGTTGGTGTTTGTGAGGCTGGGAGCGTTGTATCAGGCATGATGGATGGTGTTGAAGTTCAGGGAAATTTTCATAGCGCGAAATTTGTTTAATGCATCTGCATCCTTCTTACCATAATTGCAACGCGTGCTCCTACAACTGCTATATAATATGATAGAGAATAACTCAGAATGATACGGTGCTTGCATGGAAACTTGTCATGAGCCTGAGCGAGGTTTTCCAAATTCCCATCTAATCAAATAGGACCAGGTCTCCATTTCATGTTTGAGTCGCGGAAATTTCTCGTTCTAAAAAGCTTCTAGATAACCAATTTCAGGCTCTGGAGTCCGGAAATGTTTTCAATTACTTGGAGGTATTATTTGAAATTTTCAAGGGCCCCAGACATCATTGCGACTTATATGCCAGATCGTGTCGTTTCTAACATGACCTTCCTTCCTTCTTTCTTCTAAAACTACATATGCTAGTTTTCATCATGAAGATAACCGATGTAGTTGTTCCTCTTATCACAAATCGATCCCGTAGTTGCGATGTCGGAACTATGGTGAGTCCAATTGGCTAGACTGGGCATAGTAATCATGAACCATGACTTTATTTGCTATAAATACACTTGAGCTTCCCAAAGAGGAAATAAGTCTCTTCACCGAGATCTAAGGAATTGACTCATTTTTCTCCCTTGTATTATATATATCGTGAGGGTTGACAGAGATGTCAACTGTCTCCAATGAATATACAGATTAATCATGACGACTACAACTTCTATTGAGTTGGCGAGTATTCGTCCAACTGACGACGATGAGGCAGAAATCCCATCAATCGATGCCCTTCCACCGACAGATCGAGGTCGCGGGGCTTATACAGCTTTGGCTTGTTGTACAATTGCCCAAGCACCTATATGGGGTTAGTACTTGACGTTCCAGCGCTTCGATACACATCTAACTTGCTCCTAGGATACTCTGTCTCATTCGGAATCTTTCAAGAGTACTACACCGCTCATGCCAATCTCAAAGCCTCCCCGAGTGCCATCGCGTCCATTGGTGCATCTCAGACAGGAATCATGTATCTCATGATGCCTGTGGCATTCATCGTTCTGAATCGCTTTCCGCGTCTTCGAAAGTGGTGCGGTCCTCTCGGTTTAGCTATCACCATAATCAGCTTAACAGCTTCAGCCTTCGTAGGCAATGTTGCTGGTCTCATCGCCACCCAGGGTGTTCTGTATGCTATCGGATGCAGCCTGCTCTTCAGTCCAATCTCACTCTACATGGACGAATGGTTTGTCGAGCGGAAGGGATTTGCCTATGGAGTTATGTGGGCTGGCAAGTCAAGCGTTGGTGTCGCCATGCCGTTTCTCTTCAACGTCTTACTCCAGCGATTCGGTCTCAAAGCAACATTGTTGTCTTGGACAGTGGCATCAATGGCTATGACTCTACCAACACTCTTCTTTTTGAAGCCTCGAGTCGAGATCAGCCGTGACTCAAGGCCGCGTCCTATCAGCTTTGCTTTCTTCGGATACGCTTCATTCTGGATGCTTCAGTTGGGCATAATCATTCAGTCATTGGGATATCTGATGCCTAGCACCTACTTGGCT